CCCCTGCCGGACCTGCCCGCGTCCTGGGCGACCGCCGGCCCCGGGGACACGCTCGACGCGGGCGCGTTCAAGCGCGGCGAGTACGGCGTGTTCCAGATCGGCGTCTTCGCTTCCCTGAAAAACGCGACGAACGTGACGTACGCCGCGCGCGGCTTTCCCTACGCCGTCAACTGCTTCAACGTCGAGGGCGTCGACGACGCGGGCCGGCCCTTCGCGCGCACCTATGCCGTGCCGCACCTGCAGGTCGGGGCGCTCTGGTTCGGGATGCAGGTGCCCGCGGACGCGCCGTTCGGCGCCGGCGGCGGCGCCGTCGACGTCCTCGTGGCGGGCGACGTCGTCGGATCCGTCGAGGTGTCGTTCCGTGTCAACGGCACCGCTCCGGACGGCGGCGACGGCGACTTGCGGACCCTGTCGCGGTCGCGGTGGCTCGACAGCCGCGTGGGGCAGACGAATACGACGGCCGAGCGCCACACGCCCGTCGTCGTCGACAAGGAGCGACGGACGCTCGAGACCTGGGCGGCGCGCGTCGTCCTGGGCGCCGACGGCCTGCCGACGGCGATCGCCCGCAAGGGCAAGAACATGCTCGCCGGCGCCGTCTCCCTCCTCGACGCGACGGCGTGCGAGCCGCTCGCGTGGACGACACTGACGGACGACCTCGTCGCCTGGACCGCCGCGTGCGCCGAACAGACCGTCGCCGCGTCTCTGGATGCCGACGGCACGCTCCTCTTCGACGTCCGCGTCGAGAGCGCTCGCGCGGACGACGTCGCGCTCACGGTCCCGCTGAACGCGACGCTGGCAAAATACTCAATGGGTCTGGGGGTTCCCGGCGGGACGCGGCGCGACATGGCGTGGCGCTGGCGCGCGGGCCCCGTCGACGCGACGCCGAGCGGCTACGCCAATTACCTCGTCTGGCTCGGGAACGTCGACCTCGGGCTCCGCGTCAAGCTTCTGGGACAGGAGGACTCGTGGCTCGGCGCGCTGCATTCCATCGTGAGTGACGATCAGGTGCCGACGGACAGCTGGGCCGGCGTCCCCGCGGCCGGCGGACCTGCGGGCCTGCGCCCCGACGGCGTCACGCCGCTCGTCTGCGACGGGAACTGCACGCGCTTTACGGGGGGCGTCAACGTCTCCGAGGCGGCGCCGGGCGTCGTCGACGTCGTCGCGTTCCGCGGCGCGCCCCTCGCGGCACCGGCCTCGTTCCGATTCGAGCTGGCCATCTCGCCGACGAACGCGCTGGACACGGCGGCGCACTTCGGCGACCTTGGCCGTCGTGCCCAGCGTCCCGCGGCTGAGATGGGTGTCGAGAGCTTTTGACCGGGGAGAACGAAGAACATGTGTCACCGGCACACGTTTGTAGGGCACTACCAGTGGTCGGCGTTCGCGCCTCCGAACGCGACGGAGCTCTTCGACGCGGGCGTCCGCGTGTTGAACGTCCACCAGGGCGTCGACGTCGTCAACCCCTACATCAACTACCCCTTCGAGCCGGAGAGCGTCGCGCCGCTGTCGACCATCGCGGACGCCATGCACGCGCGCGGGGGGCGGGTGAAGCTCTACTACACGACGCGCGAGCTCAGCGACCACGCGGAGATCATCTGGCTCCTCAAGGCGCTCGGCGACGAGGTGCTCGACGGGGACGGGGGCGTCGCGGGTTTTCGGAACACGGCGGAGAAGGTCGGCGGCGCGAGCTGGCTCCAGGAGCACCTGCACAGCGGCTACTCGGTGTGCTGGTCGACGCCAGGGCAGCGCAAGAGAGCGAAATTCCCAACTTCAAAGGCTCCGATCTCGGCCATTTTCCACTCGTTTCGGCTGGCTTTTGGACGAGCGATCATCTCTCGGAACGGTCTCGAAGCGTGGATGTGTTTTCCGTAACGCGCGCGCGCGCGGAACACTCACGTTGAAGCGACGTTGAATCTCTCTCTCTTGTCCTGCCCAGGTCGACGCCGCCCGCGAACCTGACGTCGACGGAGCTGCTCGACGCCGCGGTCTGCGACTCGCAGACGCGCGACCCGCACCAGCGCTGGTCCAACTTCTACGTCGAGGGCCTGCGCTGGCTCGTGGAGGAGAAACCCCGCGTCGACGGCCTCTACCTCGACGGCGTCGCGTACGACCGCCTCACGCTCAAGCGCGCGCGGAAGCTCATGGACGACGCGAAGCCGGGCTGCCTCGTCGATCTCCACTCCGGCAACAACCTGGACCTTCGGTGCGTGGCCTCTCCCGCGGCACCCCTACGTCGAGAGGCGCGCGCAGGTACGGAGACGTCTCCCCGGCTTTGCAGTACATGCACCTGTTCCCCTACATGGACTCGCTGATGCTCGGCGAGGGCTACGCGCCGGGCTACGACCGGCCGGCGGGCGTCCCGGGCGGCGGGCCCGACTGGTGGCTCGTGGAGGTCAGCGGCATCCCCTTTGGGCTCATGAACGACATGCTCGGCGCGTCGGCGTCGCAGCTCTGGCGCGGCTTCGTCTTCGGGTCCGTCACGCGCCTCCCCTACAGCAGCCTCGCGTCGAACCAGCAGGTCTGGAAGGTCTGGGACGACTACGAGCTCGAGACGGCGGAGATGATCGGCTTCTGGGACGACGCGGGCCCGGCCGTATCGCCCGCCGCGGGCTGCGGCGGCGGCGGCGCGCTCGCGGCGACGGCCTACGTCCACGCGGGGAACGTGACCCTCGTCGCCGTCGCGTCCTGGGCCAACGCCACGCTCACCTGCGACCTGGTCGTCGACGTCGCGCGCCTCGGCCTCGACCGCGTGACCGTCGCGGTCGCGCCGGCCATCCCCGCGGCGCCCGTGCCCGGCTTCTCCTTCCAGGCCGCGGCGACCTACGCGGTCCACGACGGGAAGGTCCGCGGCGTCACGGTCCCGCCCCAGCGCGCCATCCTCATCGAGCTCCGCAATTGAGACGCGCACGTATTGCTCTTGTACATCAAAAAGAACCGGCCTCATCGAAACGACTGGCGACCTGCACGGCCCAGTCGCGTAGGCTGGCTGCTTTCTGACTGAAAATCGACGGCTTCGCGACTCCTTCGCCTGGTCCTCGACTGGCGCCAGTCACAAGACAGCCGCCAAAAACAGCAGTCAAAAATCAGTCTAGCTGTAAAAAAACAGTCATAAAACAGTCGAAAACCAGTCGCCCTCGACGGGCGCGGACCAGTCGCATAATGACTGCTTCGTGACTGAAAATCGACGGCTTCGCGACTCCTTCGCCTGGTCCTCGACTGGCACCAGTCGCAAGACAGCCGCCAAAAACAGCAGTCGAGAATCAGTCTAGCAGTAAAAAAACAGTCATAAAACAGTCGAAAACCAGTCGTACTCGACGGGCGCCGACCAGTCGCATAATAAATACACAAAATTTGAAAATTCGGGGAAAACAGTCGAAGCGACTGAAATCAGTCGCACCAGTCGACTGTTTGGGGCTCTGGGAAATTCGAGCTCGCGGCAAGCTCGCGGCCGGCCAGTCGAAGAGACTGAAATCAGTCGAAACAGTCGACTGTTTGGGGCTCTGGGAAATTCGAGCTCGCGATCGTCGCGCGACCGGCCAGTCGAAGAGACTGAAATCAGTCGAAACAGTCGACTGTTTGGGGCTCTGGGAAATCCGAGCTCGCGGCCGGCCAGTCGAAGAGACTGAAATCAGTCGAAACAGTCGACTGTTTGGGGCTCTGGGAAATTCGAGCTCGCGATCGTCGCGCGACCGGCCAGTCGAAGAGACTGAAATCAGTCGAAACAGTCGACTGTTTGGGGCTCTGGGAAATCCGAGCTCGCGGCCGGCCAGTCGAAGAGACTGAAATCAGTCGAAACAGTCGACTGTTTGGGGCTCTGGGAAATCCTAGATGAGGAGCAGCTCCCCGCGTATTTCCGACTGTCGACTGGGTGATTTTTGGGCGTCCCTAAAGCGGTTTTGGACCAGTCAACTGGCTGATTTTAGAAGTCCCTAAAGCGCTTTTGGACCAGTCGACTGGCTGATTTTAGAAGTCCCTAAAGCGTTTTTTTACCAGTCGACTGGCTGATTTTAGAAGTCCCTAAAGCGTTTTTTTACCAGTCGACTGGCTGATTTTGGACGTCCCTATAGCGTTTTTTTACCAGTCGACTGGCTGATTTTGGACGTCCCTAAAGCGTCGCCCGGGGCCAGTCGGCCCTCACGACGGGCGGGACTGGAACAAGTCGGTTCGATGAGGCCGGTTCGCTCTCTTGTACATAGAGGGGTAGGATTTTGACTCAAAATTTGAGCGATTTTGCCTTGCGGATCGAGGCTCAAGGAGCGACGCCCTCGCCCCGTAAAGCACGCGCGCCGAGTCATGTCGTGGCAGGAGAAGAAGTTGGAGTATGAGAATCGCATGGCCCGAGCGAGGGGCAAAAAACTCGACACTCTCAAGACCTGCACGATCTGCGGCGCCGACAAGGCCAAGGCTTGCGCAGGTTGCGGCACGACGGCCTACTGTTCGACGGACTGCCAACGCATCGACTGGCGCGACCGGGGCCACCGGAAGGTCTGCAAGAAGGTCCAGGCCGCGGAGGCGGCGCGGGCGGAAGCGCCGACGCCCCCGCCGTCGCCGCCGCGCGAGGTGTTCTACGGCCCCGCGCCGCGGTCGCACGCCGACGAGGTCCGCGCGCGCATCGCCGCGGAACACGAGGCGGCCCGCGCGCGGCGCGAGGCGAAACCGGAGCCCGAGCCCCTGTCGGCGCGGTTTGGGTCGCGGTGCCCGATCTGTCTCGAGGAGTGGGACGTGAATGTTCCGGGCATGTTTCGCGTCTGTTGCTGCCGAAAGGTCTGCCGATCGTGCGAGGACAAGATCGAAGCCGTGTGTCCCCTCTGTCGTGTACCGCGCACGAAAACCAATGCGGAAGCACTCGCGCAACTTCGCCGCCACGTTGAGAACGAGGTGCCAGAAGCAATTACGCATTTGGGAATTGTGTACCGCGAAGGTCGGTGGGGCCTCGTGAAATCCGATAAGAAAGCCGCGAAGATTTGGAAGCGCGCCGTGGAGCTCGGGGACGTGGACGCGATGGTATTTCTTGGGGAAATGTACGAGGATGGGGAAGGCGTCAAGCTGGACAAAGAGAAGGCGGAGCGGCTGTATCAGGCGGCCGCGGACCGGGGCGACGCGATCGGGCAAAACAATTTGGGGCTTTTACTTTACTCTGAGAAGAAACATGAAGAAGCGTTCCGGTACTTCGTGCTCGCGGCGGATCAAAGCTATACCACTGCAGAGACCAACCTTGGCGGCCGGTACTTGGACGGAAAAGGCACGGAAGTCGACCTCGGCAAAGCCAGATACTGGCTCGAGCGCGCCGCTGCCAAGGGCTACGAGAGAGCTATAGAGGACCTCGCGCGCCTCGACGCGCGAGATATTGCCTAAGTCTTTGCGCCGCGTCGTCGCCCGAGCCTCTAGCCCGAGCCCGGGATGCTGCGCTTGCGCGCGGGCGAGTCGTGCTTGGCGCTGCCGCGTTCCTCTCCGCGCCTGCCTAAGTCTTTGCGCCGCGTCGTCGCCCGAGCCTCTAGCCCGAGCCCGGGATGCTGCGCTTGCGCGCGGGCGAGTCGTGCTTGGCGCTGCCGCGTTCCTCTCCGCGCCGACCTTCGCGGTCTGGTGCTTCGCGTTCCTGAACCCCAAGCCCGCCGGGCGCAAGGCGACGACGCCGCCGAGGGGGGCATGGAGAACGGCATGAACGCGATGCGCTAGGGGTGGGCTTGGGCGGTAGTTTTGAGCGATTTTGCCATTGTCGCCCAGCTTTGAGGCGACGCCATCGCGAGGAGAGCAGACGCACGATCATGAAGGCCGAGTACGTCGAGAAGCAGCGCGAATACGAAGAGAAGAAGGCGCGGGCGAAAGCGCTACAGCTGCGTTTGACGTGCACGATTTGTGGGGCGAAACCGAGAACCTTGCTGAACTGTCCGTGCGGAACTACGCAGTATTGTTCGACTGAATGCCAACGCATCGACTGGCGCGACCGGGGTCACCGAAAGGCGTGCAAGAAGATCCGAAGCGAGCGCGCGGCGGAGGAGGCACGGGCCGAGGCGCCGACGCCCCCCCCGAAGCCCGTCTTCTACGGCCCCGCGCCGCGGTCGCACGCCGACGAGATCCGCGCGCGCATCGCGGCGGAGCACGAAGCGGCGCGGGCGCGGCGCGAGGCGAACCCGGAGCCTGAGCCGGCGTCGGCGCGGTACGGGTCGCGGTGCCCGATCTGCCTCGAGGAGTGGGACGTGAATGCTGCGGGCGTGCTTCTCGTCTGTTGCTGCAGGACGGTCTGCCAATCGTGCGAGGACAAGATCGGACTCGAGGCGTGTGCTCTCTGTCGCATGCCGCGCGCAAAAAGCAATGCGGAGCAGCTCGCGCGTCTTCGCCGCCATGTGGAGAACGAGGTGCCTGAAGCAATTACGTTTTTGGGAGCCGCGTACAGCCGCGGTCGGATGGGCCTCGTGAAATCCGATAAGAAAGCCGCGAAAATTTACCGTCGCGCCGCGGAGCTCGGCGACGTGGAAGCGATGGTAGCTCTTGCGGAATTGCATAAGACTGGAAGTGGCGTCAAGCTGGACAATAAGAAGGCGATGAAACTGTGTCGCATGGCCGCAGATCGGGGCGACGCGGTCGCACAAAACAATGTAGCGTTTTTACTTGATTCTGAGACGAAATTTGAAGAGGCGTTCCGGTACTTCGCGCTCGCGGCGGATCAAGGCTATACCGCTGGAGAGCTCAACCTAGGCTTTTGTTACAGGGGCGGAGAAGGCACGGAAGTCGACCTCGGCAAAGCCAGATACTGGTTTGAGCGCGCCGCTGCCAAGGGCGACGAGACAGCTATAAACGCCCTCGCGGACCTCGACGCGCGAAATATAGCCTAAGTATTTACGCCGCGTCGTCGCCCGAGCCCGGGATGCTGCGCTTGCGCGCGGGCGAGTCGCGCTCGCCTTGGCGTCGTCGTGGCCCGCGAACATGAATTAAGAAATGTTAACGCTCGTGAGAAGGACACGGATCGGAGGGCGGACGACGTGGGGTCGAGGCTCGAGGCGGCCTGAACAGACCCGGAAAGGAAAGGAAAGGAAGCTTGCCGTCGCGCTCGGGACCGGAGGACGGGCGACGTAGGGTCGACGTCGGGGCGGTCCGAGCAGACTCGGGAAAGAAGCGGAGCGGCGTTGGACAACAAGGACGAGAGACCTCGGGGCGGAACGCCGCCGCGCGGGGAGGACGCTCACGCGGGGTGCACGAGCGCGTCGCGCGGCGAGCCGCGGGGCCGCGGCGCGCGCGCGCGGGCGACGCCGAGGTCGCCTGGGCGCATGAGGAGGAACTCGAGGAGGTAGAGCGCGATGTCCCTCGGGAGGAGCGAGAGCACGGAGCCGGTGTCGGCGCGGCCGATCTCGACGAGCCGCAGGCGCGCGTAGAGCCGGGGCCAGCGGTCGTCGAAGATGCCGAGGCCGCGGAGCGCGCGGCGCTCGCGCTTGCCCCGGAGGAAGGTCTCGAGGGCCGCCGTGCCCCGCAGCGACGCCTTGGACGCGGAGTACTCGAGGTGCGCCTCGTGGAGCCGCGCCTCCGCCGCGAGGCGCCGGGCGTCGTCGCGCGCGCGCGCGCCCGCCGCGGACGCGCGGAGTTCGGCCTTGGCCTCGCGGAAGCGCTGCCGCGCGTTCATGGCCACGAGCACGGCGGACCGCGCGTCCTCGTAGGCCCGCGCGTCGACCGTCGCCGCCTTGACGATAAAGGACGTCGCCGACGTGTACTGGAGCCGCCCCGCGGCCTCGAGCTCGTCGCGGTCGCGCGGGCCGGGCGCCCAGCCGGGCCACCGCGGTCGGGCGCCGTCGTCGCCCGCGGGCTCCTTGACGCAGATGAGCCAGAGCCGCTCGAAGGGCAGGGGCACCTGGGACGCGAGCGCGAGCACGTCCGACGGCTCCGGCCGGAGGCTCGACGTGTAGACGCACCACCGCGACAGCGTGCCGTCCGCGCCGACGTCGAGCTGGCCGCCCGCGACGCGGCGCGCGCGCGACATCGCGTCGAGCGCCGCCGCGCCCGCCTGCCCCTCGCCCAGGGCGTCGGGCGGGGGCAGGCCCACGAGGTGGTGCCAGCACTCGCCGCAGCCGAAGATGGAGCCCGCGGCGAGCGGCGTCGCGGCGCGGACGACGGCGGCCGCGCGCTCCGTCTCTCCGGGCGCGCGCGCGAAGACGTGCGTCGTCGTCGGCAGGCGCGCGCCGCCGGAGGCCATCTGGGTCACGTAGGGCGCCTCGAGGCGCGGGATGTGCTCGACGCCGGGCAGGGGCCGGTAGACGGACCCCTCGAGCGCGCCGGACGCGGCGACGTAGCGGAGGAGGAAGACGTCCGCGGCGCCGCGCGCGATGACCCAGGGGTAGGCCCGGGGCTCGTCGCGCGCGTCCCGCGGCGTGCCGCGGGACCGCGCGCTCTCGATCTCGAGGCGGTCCATGGCGTCGCCGATGTTCTCGATCGCGGGGCGCGGCGGCAGGAGCAGCGCCTCGAGGTGCGTCCGCGACCGCCGCGCGGGCCGGTCTCGCCGCCGCGCGGCT